AAAGGAAGCATAGGGCCCGAGAAGATTAACATAGGAATGAATTTATTCAAAGACAGAACAATGGCAGAGGGACTCCCGTGAAAGCACCTGTGGTGGGAATAAGATGGAGTCAGGCAGGCTGAGGGGGGCATGACACAGCTGGGCTGGTCGGGGCAGGTCCTGCCTGACCTTCACCCCCATCTCCCATTTGACACAGCTGGGCTGGTGGGTTTAGGTCCCGCCTGACCTTCACTGTCTCCCATTCTTACTGTTTTATAAATTTAGCTCTCACCCTAAAGTGATCTATCTTGAGTAGTTTAGGGAGGATTGATTTAGGAGATTAACTTTTGAAGTGGAATGTTGTCATAAGTCATTGAGTTATACTAACAGTTAATGCGATCTTTGCTTTGAACTATGCGAATTAAGAAAGAAGGCCTCAGTGGAGAGAGGGTAGCTTTGGGTGTGTAAGAAGTAGAGATTTGGGTCAAGACTGGGGAGTCATTTCTGCCACCCTTCTACTCTGTTAAACCTTGTCTTAACTTTTTAGAGCTTTTTTATGTCTATCAGTAAACTCTGAATACTCTGATATGGCTCTTTATTTATCCTAGTTGTCCTGTCTGCTCAGAAGGGGTGTGTCAACCGAAAGCCTCTGGCCAGTGTGCTCCCTGGTGTGGCTTGCAGGGCCTCCCTGGAAGGAACGTGGACGGACAACCTGTGAGGGTGGCAAGCAGGTTTTCTTTTTCTGGCTCTCTTTTCACATGGGACAGTCGCCCATCAGTCTGTTGCATTAACGGTGTGTCTTCTGATGTTTTTTGTCTGACCACCCAAGAACCTGCTGTTTAAAGCTCCAGCATGGTTTTAAACTGTCAAGAACGCAGCATAGAGAGAAAGAGAAAGTGGGAGATATTTCATGGGGGGTTAGGAGTCTTATTTAATTAATTGCACTCACAAGACACACTCATGACATCTGCCTGGGAAATTCTGGCAAAAGTGGGAGGATAAGGTCCCCTATAGTGAGAACCAACCAGAAAAGCAGATCAAGGGTTGAAGAAAAGGGTCTTACATAGGTTTTTATGAATTAGGGCAGGAAATAATGCTCGATATGTAGCAATTTTCCAACCAATAGACAGGTTTCTGATGGATCGTGCCTACTATAGACCCCTTTAAGTCTCTTCCTTTTTTATTTTTCAGTTTTTGAATAACTCTTATTTCATTACTTGACTCCCAGCATTGTGAACACTATGATTCTACATACAGACAGATTTAGTTATTGTTTGTGCAGTTCAGAAAAGGGCAAGGACCAGGTCTCGGTTATAAGTTGAGCCCTTCCTTATCCTGCCAACTTCCCCAAGTTCCTTGATGACCCCTTGGCCACGACTATAAACATACCCCTGGCCAGAGTGATGTCAGATCTCTCTTCCAGAGCCTCTGATTCCCCCCAATCTAAAGCTGACCTCTATACCACTGCTTTTGCCAGATCCATTGACCAGTCATCACTGGTTCCAGTATACACGGCCCTTATCATGATTGACTGTTCTTCACATCAACTCAACTCTGCTGCTGCAGCAGGTACCAAACCCCTCTCTGCTGTGACATGCAAATCAATCCATGCATTGCTCCCACCATCCATTCCATCCCCCGGGAAATTCTACTGTTATCCCTGGGTTGCCACGGTGTCTTACCCCCATCCTCACTCTGGTCTGTTGTCAACATTGACATCCAAGAGAACCTCTCCCTGCACCCCAGGACTTCTGGTGCTGCCTTAAGGTGCTTTCTGCCATCAGAAGACACACCACTTTTTCTAAGGTCACAGAATTTTCATGTTGGTATATTCCATTTATTAATGGAGTCTGATTACATTTTCATTTGGGTTAGGACAGGATGAAGAGATGACATTGCTATATATAGTCTGGTAGCAATCATGCTCTATGGTCCTTCCAGCATCTTAAAGATCATGTCCATGGATGCTTTGTGTGGAGCATATGTACCCAGTTTATCAGGACCCCCTTATTGTTCATAGTGCTGTTTTCACAACCGCCTTTGTACTTATCATAAGCAGGCTCTAGGTTACCACTCTGAAGTGGGGGATCCCTGACTAGACCTTCCAGTTTGGTATGTTGTGGAAAAAAGGAAGGTGGAGGGATCAGAATTGGAATACGTATTTTATAGATTTCTTTTTTGGACCCAAATCTGAGAAGAGAGGTATACTGGTTAGTTAAGGAAAAAGTCAAGAAACAGAGGGAGTTTTTCCAACTTCTCATTTGATATACTAGAAGAAATGCACCCCCTAGAGATCCTTTTCCCTGACATAAGATGGCAGCATTCGTGTTAAAATGGTAACACAATATGGTCGGATTACAGCAGAACTGGGCAAGCAGGTCTGAATCTCTCCTGGATTTTTGTATACTTTAAATGTGATCCAGAAGTTGCTTTAGAACCCATGAGGGATAAAGGAGGAGTTGAACTGGAATTCAGCAGACCTGCCACAGGGCCACAGGAGGGATCGATGAGACAACCCAGCTGCAGAGGTTGCAGAGCTGAGTCTAGACAGGAGCTTGAGATGCAGTGGGCAGTGCTGCTCCCGCTCCGAAAGAGGGCTCAGTGGACTGAGCCAGCTGGGGAGGTCCTCTGAGTCCTCACTGAGCTAGGAGGTAAATTCACAACTTCCCCAGCCACAGACTTCCCCGGAGACCAGAGGATTTCAGAGAACACCAGACCATAAATACAGGTCCTCTTCTCTGTCATGGAAGGAAGAGATGGAAGGAGAGAAAGAGAGAAAGAGCTCTCTCCTCTTAGGGAATTATCTTTAAATGATTAAATTACCTGACATAATTGTCTCTCAAGATTAGCAACATTTTTCTTTTCCCCAGCAGAAATGTTTAAATTAAATTTGATCAGGTAATTTTCTTGGATTTGAGTATTCACTTCAATTCTCTCTTTCTCTCTCTCTCTCTCTCTATATATATTTTTCCACACACATACGCACATATGCATATACATATGTTATATGAATATAAAGATAGATTATATATAAATATATATTTAACAGTAGGTCTTGATAAAATATAAAACAAAGACACTGAGACTAAAATAATACCAGGTAATCCAAAAGCATTAAACATTTTGAGTATTTATCACCTCCTGGATCTTCTTAAGTTCTTAATCTTTGTTTTGCTTTGTCTATATATTATTGTTTGTCCTGAACATCTTCCTCAAAATCTCAGACGTGTCTTAACGCATTCATCTACTTCACTGCCACATCCATGCACTTGCTGCAAATCTAATTTCAATCTGGATAGGGTCTGTGCATCTCTCCTCTTGTCTCTGTATCAATTTATCCTGCTGTTTTTTAGCCCTTCACTATTTTTTGAGACACTAGGAAGACCCTCCTGACTACTTGCCACGGCTCCCAACCTCTTGACACCCCACCTGTTAATTTGCTAAAGGATCTGTGATGATATACTTATTTCCTCTAAAATCATTTGATGAATTCCCGTCGATGGGAACACAGGCTCTTCAGGCTCTTCATAACCTGGCTGATTCCAAACCTTTCTTCCCACTTTCCATCTCATTCCAATTGCTGTCATGGTCTAGCCTTGCCCGTTGCCTTGCTGTTTTCTGAACACACTTCCACCTAGTCATCTCATACCCACGTTTTCTACTTAAATAAATGTTATCTCTTTCCCGAGGGTTCCCTGACTCTGTCCCTCTCTTGTTCTACTGCTGTGCTTTGCCTCGGCTTCTGCAGTAGAACATAGTCAAGGGCACGGTATCCATGGCTGGCTGCCTTGCCTTCTAGACTGAGAGTCCCTGGAAAGTAGAACCTATTTTTCATTAAGTTTTCATCCTTATTCCACCTACTACAATCTGTTAGTACAGCATATTTAATAAATGCATGGAAAAGTGCTTTGTAAACAGCAAAGTGCTATGTAAGTAGTAATCATTTTATTATTATGTGTCAAGTTGAATTCACTTTAAGAAATCTTGACATTCTCCGGGAGAAATGATTATCATCCATGGAAATGCTAGAATCACTGATAGGAAGTCTCGAGACACTGTAGGCAGATATTTCCCTGGAGCAGAAGAGAGAAGGAGCTCTAGTTCTGCAATCTTCTCTTTCTTTCATGGGCATGTCCTAGAGGCCCAGCCTTGTCTAGTGCTCTGCAGATTTCTCTGTGGCCTCTATTCACCCATATTAAAAATCACAGACATTACTGGAAAGTTCCCCAGCAGGGAAGATCAAAGAAGTGGCCTTGTAATAAGAAACAGCAGGCTATGGGGAGCTGGCCCTGGGCACAGGCTCTACCAGTGTTCGCCTTACATGTGAGGCCAAGCACCTCTCTGCCGACCCTTGGGCAGTAGGCACACTGCGAATATAACACGCCTGGCATTTCCTGACACAGGGATTATTTCCATCTCTAGGAATTCCACTAATGTTCTCAGAAGGCGTTGGGACGTTTGAATTTTAAAAATAAACCTTTAGAACGCAACACAAATATCCTAGAAATCCCTGTGTCAGCCCTTTTCCTTGAAGACACCTGTAAGTCCTGCTGTCACCTGCGTTACACAGGAGAAGGAAGGACCACAGCCTCTTGGTTAAAATACCCTCAAGGAATAACTATCCAGAAATTGGCACAACCATGTTAAATATCTGCTACTGACTGCTTGAGAGCCTTGGAAAGTTTGATTAACTCTAACTCAGAGAAATAAAGCAGAGAGCAAAAGGGGAAGAAAATTTAAAAAGAGAGAGGAAAGAAAGAAAAGAAAAAAGAAATGAGCTCACGGAAGCTGTTCTCCATCACTCGGTTAGGTATTTGATGGTTTATTATTTGAAGCAACAAATTAGTCAAAATCCATATCTAGGTCAACTCTGGAGTGTTCTATGGAGGAGGAAATAGCCAAAAGGGACCAAAGTAAGACAGAGAAGAAAGGGGAGATTTTTCCCAGTGCCAGTGGTTGGGGAATAGTGCCTGCCAATTATTTCCTCTCCTGGAACACTGCCATTGTGAAGGCCATCCTACCTGATATGCTGATGGTGGCTGCAGCCTTTGCAGTACTGAATTTCTCTCCATGCTTATTAGTAGCTATGCATGTGTAGAGTCCTGGCTTGGTAACAAATAGCTGCAGTCTTGAGTCAATCACTCGGTCTTTCACACTCTCTTGAATGGACCCAGAAGAAACCTGATAGAGTAGGGGAAAATAAGAGATAAAACCAGGTCAAGGATTTCCTGAGATACTGCATCTGTAGATTTGAAGGGAAAAGTATTAACTAATGATGATCAACAGGCATGTGGTAGACTGCAAAAATAGCCACCAAATTTTCCCTCCCTATGCCCATGCCCTTGCACTGTGACTCTGTAGCTTTTCTTTCAAGAGGTGGCATCTTTCTCCACACGTTCAATCGAGATTAGCCTAGTGATGGGTTTGGAATGACTGGGCAGAAACTTGTAAGTTTCTTGCACATTGTGGCTTACCTGCTTGTTGCTTTTGGAACCCCTGGCCTCCTGTGAACAAGGGAGAGCAAGCCTGCTAGAAGATGAAACACACACTGCCACGTTATCCCCACTGCCCCAGGTAGGAGCCAGCAAGAACCGTCAGACACATGAGTAAGGCTAATCTAGAACAACCAGAACCCATTCAACCTGCCAATGACAAGAGCTAGACCCACCAAGATAAGGCAATTCTGGCCCCAAACAGCAAAACCACCCAGTTGACCTCCACACTTATGAGCATTATTAATAAATGGTTATTGTTTGAAACCACTAAGCTTTGACATGGTTTGTGATATAGTGGCTGAAAGCAAGATATGAATAAAATACTGTGTGGATCCTCCAAGATGTGCTATCTTGGGAAGAAAGGGACAGTCAAGCATGAGGGGTTGCAGATTTCTGGACTGGACTTATGTTCATAAGTCCAGTTCAGTTCCCCATTACAGTCAAATCAGATGGGTGGAAAAATGGCTGTGAGGCCAAGTCTGTCTCTGAGGTAAGGTATACATGATGATGAACTACCTAAATTAGAAAATCAAATGTCCTTGATGAGCCAGAATATCAATGCAATATTAGCATATAACTGACAGGTTAATTTATATAAGTGCTTATCAATTAGTCATTGTCATCCAACTACATGGGAAAGACAACAGCCCAGCACATTTCAGGAGGTTGCAGTTAAAATTTGCATTCTGGCTTGTCAGACACTAAAGCCTGTACTTTTAACCATTATGTTATAGTGTCTTCCCTAGTTCTAGAAAAGAGAGCAAATGAATAGTCATTAGAAAACAAGAGCACGAGCAACAATAACCTTAACAAGTCAACCAACCATGAACAAAATAGATGTATGACAAATGTATTGTTAATGGTGGTGTTTTTTTTTTAAATGTTTCTTCACTGCTTTCTTGAGCACTATACCACATTTTCAATAATTATTCTTTACTTAAATGTACTTATATGAGGGAATAAGATGCCAGTTTGGGGGAAAGTGGAGTGGGATGGACAAGGAATCAGACCATGGTAGACCTTTTGATCTTATTCTTGGAGGAATAGAGGTGGGTACTATGGAAGCCTGAGCTTGGCTGCCTCAGAAGGGATTGTACTGTCCAGTAGTGGGATTGCACTAGGAAGGAGAGATTTTGGAGCCGGTTATTTTGCTGTAAGAGACTAACAAAAGGGAAGGAAGCCCTGAGGTGAGACTAGTTTTCTTCCTAGCTTCCAGGTGACTGCTGTCCCTGGCACCAAGTACTCTCAGTGGTAAGTCAGCAGTGAAAGTTTCTCCAAAGTTTCTTTGTCTCTCTTCTTTACCTTTTCTACCTGTCCTAATCCTTATGATAAAAACTGGTTTGTGTGAATATCAATATATCTTAAGTGGGAGATTTTCCAGGTCAGATCAAGTATTGTGAAACTTTCCCAGATAAGCAGCCTAGACTCTATGAAAACCGACAAAGCAGAACGAAAAATATCTTTAAGAGATAAACACTCAGTTGTAAATTCAAAGTGAAGGAATTATTATTGTATCTATCAGAAGTATAATATCTTATGGATGTGTGTCCAGGTTATTCTGAACAACTCAAATATAATTCTGGACCTTCCCTGAATTTTAATACAAAGCAGGAATGAGAAAAAAGCTAACGACCTCGAAACTCTATGCTTAATAAACATGTTCTATGTTACTTTTGAGTTTTGTTATAAATATAACCCATTTTCAGTTTATATAGTCTTGCAATTATAAAATTATAGACAATTTAGTTCTCTCCTTCAAGAAGGAGGATTGTGAACCAGGAGAGTCATGATGGTTGACTAGAAGCAGCCTGCATATCACTTTTAAGAAAAGTGAAGATTGCAGGTAGATGCTCACCTATGGATGGACCTTGAATCATGAGATTGCCCTGTGACACCTTAGAGAAGCAACAAGGGACATTTGTTATGGAGAAGGTTATGTGGTGATCCACTTGGCAAGATGAGAAGGTACCTGGGAGGGGGAGGACAGGAGGAGAGGACCCTGGGACTCTATGTTCTCCCCATGAATACTGAGGCCTGAACTATGTTGGGACTCCCTCACAACCACTGCAAACCTTCAGACTGATCAAGGAGCTGCTTTGAGTCTATGCAGCTACATTGGACCAGAGAGCAGGCACATCACAAACCTGGTGACCTCCTCCATTTCGGGGGTACTACAGTTAACAATATTCTGAGCTCTGAGGTACAGAACCCTGGTCTTTATAGGGCTCAGCTTTGCTATAGCCACTGCCACACTGCCCTGGGAAGACTAGGGAGGGAACAGAGAGAGCAGATGTGCTCCTGTACCTATGACTGGGAGTCATGTACCTTCCCTCTACACAAGGGAGTCTAGCAGAATGGGCACCACATATGCCACCTGAGAAGCCCTATAACAAATGGGTCCTGGGCAGGGGCAGAGCACTGGGGCCTGGAGGCCCAGCCCTGTACTTCCACTTCCAGGAACCCCATCATGCTGCCAGTGGGCTCTGTAGCCCTGTCTCCAAAGCTTCTGTGCTGCTGGGCCCCAAAATTCTTCCCCTGAGGCTCCCACCCACCACCTAGAAAGAACTGCCCCCAGTTCAAGTATCTGCTCAGTACCTGCTAGCTGCAAGCCACCATCACACCTGGACCTGGGTGGAGTGAACTCCCACAGACTTGACAGCCATAACCACTTCCTAGATAGCCTTGCCTTGCTGTCACTGCCAGGTCATGGGCAGACCTAGGCAGAATGATCTCTTTCAACATCAGGCTCATGGAGAGGAACTTGCCCAGCTCCCTGCCCAAGCTTCCAGCAACGTGGCAGTGAATGACCCAGCATTCTGCATGGAGGTCACTTGGCACTGGCTTGGACTGTGACAATCACAGGGTAAGAGGACAACATAGAAGGGCTGCATTACAGGCTCTCAGTGAATCTGCCTCTCTCTTCTTTTCCTTCAAGGTTAAATCTTCCTGAAAGATCAAAAAGGTGCTATCTGGGAACCTTTCCTTCCCCTTAACACGTAGGAGAGTCCCACAGAGGAGAACAGGTGTGCAACAAATCTGTCAGCCCTGAGATGACAGAAGAGGATTCAGATGAGAAGAAATGAGCAAAAGAACTCTGGCAACATGAGAAAACAAGCTAGACACCCACAGAGGATCGCAGTAGTTTTATAGCAATAGATCACAGCCAAAGGAAATTATTTCAACATGTCAGGAATGGAATTCAGAATATGGATTGGCAAATAAGAGGAATGGCATTGAGAACAAAAACAAAGCATCCCCCAAAATAGTATAGTACATGAATGAAAAAAAAAAAAAGAAAAAGTCACTAAAAGAAAAGATATAACAAAACTCAAAGAAATGAAAGATTTATTTAGGAAACTTGAAAATATAGCTGACCTCCAATAACAGGATGGATGAAGCAGAAGAAAAAAATCTCAGAGCTTGAATATTAGGCTTTTGAATGAACCCAATTAGTCAAGGATGCAGAAAGAAGAATGAAGAGAAATAAGCAGTCACTCAGAGAAATATGGAACTGTGTGAAATGAAATATTATATGAATGATAGGTGTCCCTAAGGGAGAAGAAGAAAAACAAAAAAAGCATCAAAAAACCTTTTTTTGAAGGAATTATTGAGGGAAACTTTCCTGTTATCACCAAAGATTCAGATATCCAGATGCATAACGGTCATTGAACACAGGAAAGAGTCATAGCAAGTAGGACATCTCCCAGACACATGGCCATCAACATGCTCAAAGTGAAAATAAAGGAGAAAATGCTAAAGGCTGCAAGATGAAAGTAACAACTAACCTACAAAGGAAAACATCAGTTTGACGTCAGAGTTTTCAGCTGAGACCTTAGAAAAATTGCCAACCAAGAGTTTTATATTCTGAAAAAGTAAGTTTCTTTCCTTCTTTCTTTTTTTTTTTTTTGAGACAGAGTCTCACTATGTTGTCCTCAATAGAGTGCTGTGGTGTCACAGCTCACAGCAACTCCAAACTCTTGGGCTTAAGTGATTCTCTTGCCTCAGCCTCTCAAGTAGCTAGGACTTCAGGTGCCTGTCACAACACCAGCTATTTTTTGGTTGTAGTTGTCATTGTTGTTTGGCAGGCCTGAGCTGGGTTCAAACCTGCCAGCTCCCGTTTATGTGGCTGGTGCCCTAGCTGCTGAGCTACAGGTGCCGAGCTGGAAAAGGAAGTTTCTTAAAGGATGAAGAAATAAAGGCTTTTCCAGATAATCAAACAATAAGGAAATTTGTCAATACTCAGTCTGCCCTATAGGAAATACTCCAAACTGCATTATACATAGAACAGCACAATAGATGGCCATCAATTTTAAAACCACCTGAAGGTTATAGCTCACAGTTCATATAAAACAATAGCACAAGAGACAAACAAGGTATCATCCAACATGATAAACCTAATAGCATTCCACGCATCAATACTAGCAGTGAACATGGATGCTCTTAATGCCCCCAGTTAAATGATGAAGACTAGCTGAAAAGGTGGGGAAAAAAAAAACCTTAGGGTGGTGCCTGTGGCTCAGTGAGTAGGGCACAGTCCCCATATACCGAGGGTGGCAGGTCTGAACCTGGCCCCAACCAAACTGCAACAAAAAAAAAATAGCCAGGTGTTGTGGCAGGTGCCTGTAGTCCCAGCTACTTGGGAGGCTGAGGCAAGAGTATCACTTAAGCCCAAGAGGTTGCTGTGAG